CGACCAGGAAAGCAAGGGGGGAAGGCAAGGCCTTGGGGAGGAAAGCCCCCCCCCAAAGGAGCATAACTGCAGGAGAAGAGGAGCTGCCCCCCCGCATCGACACCCCCCCCATCCCACCCAGCAGGCGTGGGGCACAACGTTAATACTGCGGACTCTTCCAAGTCCTATTTTTGGGGGTGTTCTTCAAGTGCCCTCCCCATCCGCTTACGGTTGTAGCAGTGCAGAGAGGGGGTGGGGTTTTTTTTTGCAGCCTGGCTGGAAATGAGGAGTACCGCAAGATTTGGTCCTTTTTCGGTGGTGGGGGGGACGACACTCCTCCGCAGATCCCCACACGCTCCCCCCCCTCCCCGGTAATAGAATCTGTTCATATATAAATCTGTCTATAAAACTCTTTACATTCGGCACATAAGGTTATTTCGGGTGGGGGTGCCTGGCCCAGCACCCCTCCCGGAATCTGGAGCTGACGGAGAAAGGTCTTCGCCCCGCCCCCGCCCCTCGGAGAGGGAGACGGGAGGGGAAGAGACGAGTGCGGGTCCCCCGTCACGCCTCACGACACCCACGCGGCGAGTTGCTTCATTTCTTCGTCGTCGTCGTCGTCCGCAGCAACTTTCGAGGCTGGGGAGGGAAGGGGGGCGGGTGAGCGAAAGGGCAGGCCCCGTTCCCCAGGCCCATGAGGGCCCCCCCCCCCACATCGGTCACCCTTCCCGTCAACAACAGATTCGACATTCATCCGGGCTGCGTGCGAACTATCCCCTCCCCTCTGGGCCCAACGTATCCTTAGCTCCACGTCTCAAAGACTGCAGTGGAGGCGCAGGTTATGGCTTTGCATGAAGAAGGGCCTCGACAACAACCTGGCATCTCCAGCTAAGCAGGCGGGGCTGGGGGAAGCCACTGGCGGAATCACGGGGAATCCACTTCCAGCCACTCTATGGCGCTAACAGGCTGGGCTCGCGAGAAAGCCGCCTCCTCTGTTCATCCTAAGCCAAAGCCAGACAGGGTTCTGATCTTAGAAGAAGAAGAAGGAGGGAAGAGATTGGATTTATACCCCGCCCTTCACTACCCAAAGGAGTCTCAGAGTGGTTTACAATCTCCTTTCCCTTCCCCTCCCCACAACAGACCCCCTGTGAGGGAGGTGGGGCTGAGAGAGCTATTTCGAAAACTGCCCTTGAGAGAACAGCTCTGAGAGAACTTGTGACTGACCCAAGGTCTCACCAGCAGCTGCATGTGGAGGAGTGGGAAAATCAAACCCGGTTCTCCCAGATTAGAGTCTGTGCTCCTAATCACTACACCGAACTGGCTCTAGAGGGGGCCCAGACGTAGAGGGGACCCGGTCCAGGAAGGACGGTTGAGGGCAGCAGGGGGTCCCCAACCTGTTTGAGCCTGGGGGCCCCTTTGTCATCCTCAGACAGGTTGGCAGGCTCAACCACAAAATGGCTGCCGCAGGAGGCGGGTCCAGCCACAAAATATCAGGGAATGCACGTGTGCTAACTCTTAACAGTAACTCTTCAACGTCTCAGCCAGAGACTGTCTAAGAGGGTGCCTTAACAAGCGTATTGCTCAAAAATATTTCCCTTGCGTGCCCACAGCTGACATTCAGTCACACCGCCAGGCTATAAGTCAGAGGTGTCGAACTCATTGGTTATGAGGACCGGATCTGAGGTAGATGTCACTTTGTTGGGCCGGGCCACGTGTGACATAAGAAGAGATTGGATTTATACCCCGCCCTTCACTACCCGAAGGAGTCACAGAGCGGCTTACAAACTCCTTTCCCTTCCCCTTCCCACAACAGACACCCGGTGAGGTCGGTGGGGCTGAGAGAGCTCTGATAGAAACGGCTCTCTTTCAAGAACAGCTCTGACAGAACTATGGCTTGCCCAAGGTCATCCAGCAGCTGCGAGCGGAGGAGTGGGGAATCATACCCGGTTCTCCCAGATTAGAGTCCACACACTTAACCACGACACCAAACTGGTGAAGAAGAGGAAGAAGAGGAGATTGGATTTATACCCCCCCTTCACTTGGAGTCTCAGAGCGGCTGACAAACTCCTTTCCCTTCCCCTCCCCACAACAGACACCCTGTGAGGTAGGTGGGGCTGTGAGAGCTCTTGACAGAAACGGCTCTTTTTCAAGAACAGCTCTTATCAGAACTACGGCTTGCCCAAGGTCATCCAGCCAAGTGCAAGTGGAGGGGTGGGGAATCAAACCTGGTTCTCCCAGATTAGAGTCCGCGCACTTAACCACCAAACCGGCTGGGTACCGGAGATATCAACTGTATAAAGGACAGCAGCTGGTAAGCTCCGAGTTGTTGTGTCTTCACTGCAAGGCCCCACGGGCTGGGAGGGGGGTGTAACCTACATGGGCAGACTGGAGAGCCGGCGGTGCAGCCACTTGGCAGACGCTCCCCACACTGCTTGATTGCTGCAGACAAGGCCGTTCTGCCACGCTGAAGCCACAATCGGAGCGGCTCCGCCCACTCCCCCCCCCCTAGCAGCCTCCTGTTCCTTCCCTTGCACTAGCTGCTTGGGGGCCGCATAAGAAGAAGAAGGGAAGAGATTGGATTTATACCCCACCACTCACTTCCGAAAGGAGTCTCAGAGCGGCTTACAAACTCCTTTCCCTCCCCCTCCCCACCACAGACACCCTGTGTGGTAGGCGGGGCTGAGAGAGCTCTTGACAGAAACCG